TAATGCATTGTTATCAATTATAAGAAGATTTTTAGAGACTTAGTAAGTATTGAAAATGAAAACAAAAGCTTGAAAAAAATGTTTTCGAAAGAAACTGACAACAAGCATGTTTAACTATGTTCTCGGTAGGAAAAATAGTGGTGTTTGCCACAAGTGGATAGATATTGTTACTTATGAGTTTCGTATAAGATTTTTCGTAATAGTGTATGGAAAATAAGCGTTTTTTGCACTGCAGCGAAATATTTTCCCAAAAAACTTACGTTTGCTAAGAAAAATACCCAAAATGCGAAGTTTTCCTATACTGTTAGAAGGAGGACTTTTGATTGGTCATAATGTTCATTAGCTTAGTGTTGTAGAAACGATTCTAACAGTGATCCGATCCCCATTGAATAAAAAGACTGAACTTAGAAAAGAGATTTTTAAAAACCACTGATTTTTAGCACAGACTTTTCAAAAAGGTGGCATATTTGTAAATAAATAACGTTAATCGTGGATATCTATAATTCAAAAGATACAAAGCAACAAAGATATTGTTTGAGAAAGTTTTTCATTTAAAACTTTACCACTTTGCACGCTCAAATGTGGTAAAGTGGTAAACTAAATTTAGGACAAGCTTATTTTTATTCAATCGAAATTTTGCATGATGAAAGGTACTACTAGCTGGAGTCTGGCAATCGGCAGCGGGTAAAAAGAGAAGAGCGTTGATTTACAGAATCTTCTAGGCTCGCTACACACTTTTGTATTGAAAATTATTCGTAACTTTGAACACGCGTAAGTTTTTCAAAATATATCCATGGTTTTTACATGTAAAACTATTTGAGGAGCGGGATGAACTTTGCAGGATTAATGATCGTATAAGTAGTAGAAAATACCCAAAAATCTGTCAAAATATCTCGTAATTCACAAGATATACTTAGTAAATAATTATTGCAAAACATAACATTTGTGTGACCTTTTTATAATTAAATTGTAAAAGTTGGAATCAATATTTATTGTATAATCAGCCTCAAACGAACTGTACCGATTAGTTAAATTTCTTGTTTGGCTCATCTTTGTGCGAACTATTATTTGCAAATAAACTTGATAATCGCAAGGAATCTCAAAAAAGACTATATTATAGTATAGTTGTCGTACCTGGTGGCGCCTGTCATCGGGGCAAGCAACAAGCCTAAGGGATTCCTTGTGCTCGCCCTGGTTGGATGAGCACAAGGTACGAACTTGTTTTTCTCACTGAAGGCGCAATAAACGTCCAAAGATAAAAAAAACGGCCAAAGTAGGAAGTGCATTTTTTTTATCCTATGGACATAAAGTGCGACAAGGCCTTTGCACGAATGGGAGGGAATTTTAATGCAGTCACCAAAAGCAAGTGCTAAAAGAGAAAAGTTGCTACACAGGTATGTATATAGTATGCCACCTGAAAGAGTTTCAGTTTACACGTAGCCCTAAGCTGATCGGTTCCTGTTTAGGTGAGGTGCAAAATTTAAATACACACCACGGGCAGAATATAAAGAATGCCCAGATGTCGTGTTTGCATTAGTAACCCTCGGGATCGTCCCTGGACCATTTTTTACTTGACCACCCTAGCCGTGTAAATAGCTCCGGGATGGAAAATGTTGGTTTTTTTTTCCGAAATGAAATTATTTGCCAGTAACAAGAGTGTAAGAGCGAACTTACCTCACGAAGAGCTGCTCTTGATTGTTGACTCTCCATGATACGACGGTGGCACCTGCGAATAACACAAACAAAAATTGTAAAATGGTTTTCCACACCGATCGACGATGGACTTAAAATGATGGCATGGATTCGTTCTTGGGGCTGATTTTCATGCTATTAGCAAGAGGAAAAATTAAAACTTATATAGAAGAGTTTGTCACTTGCAAGCAAGTGGAGGAGCAGTAACATACCCACGGGCACAAGTGTTGGGGAAAAAAGAGGACAGAGAACACTCATAGTGCGATTTCTCATGCAAGAGTATGAACGAAATCACCGCAACAGAGGTCACATTCGCGGCCACGGGACAAACTCGTTTGAATCCGCCTCGCACCGCTATGCGCAACTCTTGCGTTTTGTAAGTGCACGCATATATACAGGCATACGTGCATCACGTACGACGCAGCGCACCATCAATGACGCTCGAGCTGGAGCAACGAACTTGACTCGACTTTAACGTCCAACTTGCTAAGATTCCCATGTCTCGTTGTGTAAGTATACCCGAGCAAACGGTTGTCATACATTATACTCTGGCTAATACATGTGGCGCTTCAGTTCGACATCCCCGGAAAATTAACAAATATTAAAAACAGTCCATTCAACTTGTTTCAAAGTATTCAGTTATGTGAAGAGATTGACATAATTCATTAGTAATTGCTTAAACCAGATGTGAGGCCTCCATGGACATGTGATGTATCTCTGTATGAAAGCGATGGAAAACCATAAATTCTCCGTCATTTTCCGATGACGCAGCTTCGCGCGCGTTTGCTGATGAGAATAGGTACCACGCGGTCTTTTTATTTTTTACTCTGGTCTTGTGAGCACGTGTATATCACATACGTCTCGAATAGCGAGAGCCACTGGCCACTGTGCCCATTCATATAGCTTCTCCGCAAAGATCGACTATTTTTTAATTTAATTACCACTCGTTCGAATTTTTTTTTACATCTGAATTGTTAATCACCGTCTTGCGTGACCTTCCCGTCACCTTCTTTTTCTCATTTTGTTTTACCAAGCGAATCAATCATGAACAAATATCTATACACTTATCTCCGTCTCGTTTTGCAGTCATTGAGAGTTGAGCTACAAAAAAATATCCCGATTTCACCCGACATCGCGATACATCTATTTTTACACACCGGCATGTAAATGCAGCCTTATTTTGACTACAATACCAAGAGTATGGCATTGACACGCAACTTTTTTTTTTTTTTTTTTTTTTATCGACGGCAACGGCCGTAAGCAATTATACACGAGACGAAGAAACCATTAAAAGAAAAACAAAATCGTACATTGTGCAACTGCATGGTAATCCATTAATAAACATCCTTGTAGACTTATCTACGCCCGTTTACCGGTATCGCTACACTTTGACAAATTCACGATAGTTATACAGGTACGTACATACATACGCATATGTGTCCAGCAAATAAGAATATTTTTATTTGCTCTTTCGAACTTTTCAAACCAAACCTCGGCATAATATCGATCCGACGCAAGAACATCAGAGCACGTGGGAGTCTCTACGTATATATGTATAAAGACGACACGCAGCAACAGTGGATCCGAGTGTACACTTATATATACAGTGGGCGGCAGGTGGTTGGCGCGGCACGTGGTAGCGGCACGCCGTTTTGCATGGTGTATCCAAGTACAACGTCAGTTCTTAAAAATGCATCACCTACATATAAAATACCTTGTACGAAATTTAAAGTCAAAGGGACTTCACAGCCGATTAGCTTTTTTTACCAACACACTATTTCTGATCCTATAGCCGCAAGTTCCGTAACTTTGATTTGACTGTTCGTTACTTATATATGCTCTCAGTATACTAATTACAGCCAAAATTATACACAAATGCTGCTTATCTCGAGGCTGCAGACGAGCGTATACGCAAATTTTCAAACTCGTTTTGCCGAGGCCGCGCGTGCGCCAAAACAAAAAAAACCGGCACGAAGAAGCGTAGTGTCATCCTGACGTTGCTAATTAGTATGTCTAGTGTTTGCTGTTGCAAACTGACGAGCTGCTGTTTATAGCGCCCTACATTTCGAACTTTAACTTCAAAAAGGTACTTTGATGCGCCGTAAAACCATTGTTTTCGGCATTTTCCGCCTTTTCTACGTCACGCAAGGACAAGCGCGCGATTGCCGACATGAAAACAAGTGACACTTGAATGCCCGATCTCCCCTCGGATACGCGTTTGGTTGACATGTGGAGTCATTTGTCTCTATCTTTCGTAACACCAAAAAAAAAAAAAAAACAAAAGAAAATGAATAAAAAAAAAAAAAACAAAAACAAAAGACAATAACCCCAAACAAAATAGTAAAAGTAATAGCGGCAACGGGAAAAAAAGCACAGTCTGGTCGCGGAGAAAGCACTGGAAGACGGAGCCAGGGGGAGTAGGTTGCGGGAAGTCAGTTGACAGGAGCCCCGGTCCGGGTCGCGTCCACGAGTCTCACGCACCGTGAAGGTTGATGGTGCAAGTTGTGTTGTTGCCCCGGTCGAGCACGACGACACTAGTGGCCGCTGCCATGTTGTAAGCGCGAATGCCGTAACTGCACTCAGGGCGAGCCGGTCGCCACAGTACTCTCTTGCGGCCTCGGCGCCGTGCTCACACGCGCGCCCTCGGCTCGGCCCCTCTCTCTCCTTAACCCTCGCGTAACGTTGATGGTGTATACATGTGCTTATACGCACGCGGGAGAACTTTACCCGTTGGGGAGGGTCAGTGGGGAGTGCCCCGGCGAATGGCCGGGCTGACTTCGGAGCGAGTGCCAGCCCATTGGACGCCGTCTGCCCAGTGAGGGCGCCGATCCGGCTGGCGGCTGCATTTAAATTGAAGCTGCTGCTACTGCATTGGATTGCACGGATGGAAGGGCGAGCATTTGCTACCTGTATACCTATACGTGCGTCGAACGTGAGAGGATTCAGGAGGTGTATGTGGGGGTTCGCTTCGCCGGTCGTGATGGTCCTTTTGTAAGCAACCGTACTACTTACCTATCAATTTTGGACGTCAGATTACAAGCGAGGTTGCTGTATACCCCGCTGTACAACAGGTAATTAAGATTATATATGTTATCGTTGAAAGGGTTCCATTTGCTATATTCGAGTGTTAATCATTCAAAGATTTGATCGACACTGTAAAGAGCGTGTCTTCATTTAGAAATATTGCATCAAGAAATACACGTTGTTGGGTTCATCTGAAACTAATGTTGCATTGATATGCCACAAATGAATTTTTACCAACCAACAGGTGCTTTAAAACAAATCTTACGTTTTATTGTCGCTAAAAAATATGTACAAAGGTCAGATGTGATCTCAAAATCTGACAATTATAAAACTCTCCTGCTCAAATTCGAATATCCTATGCCCACGCACGTTAACAACACTTGTTCAGTACTTTCCCCATCTTCATCCTTGACATTTTCTAGTTTGAAAGTGACCCCAAAGAAATCCCTCAAGTCTCTCAAAAATTGTACCCTGTAAATAAATAATTCAATATCAACCGACTGGGTAAGCAAGCACAACAGACACATCCTATGTAAATACTTACATAGCTGGGGTCAGTGGTCCTACGATCATTTTTGAGACATCCTTTTTTCCAAGGGCCATGAAGAGTGCTGTTACACACTGGAAAGCACTATCTACGCATCCATTCCTTGAAAATTAATAACGATTCATTTTTGAAAAACAAATTAGCAGAAATCGTCATTGAATACCAATTGTTTGTAATTTTAAGATTTTGGTCAAATGCTTATTTCAGAAAGATAGGTGCATTTTATTTACACTGTAAGATTTTGAAAATTGAATTCATGCAATTTATCAGTTTAACCAATAAAAATATTAAAATGGAGAATAAGAGTATCACGAGAACTACTCTACACAGATGTAATTTAAATAAAAATTTGGAGTTGAATAGTTCTTACCTGTAAACTTCGTCTAGCAGTTTAAGAGCTGCTTCTTTGCCTAAATCTTCAGGAACACATGGCAAGGATCCAGCTGTCATTAATGGAGAATATGCTTCCCCACAAAGAAACGTATCTTCTGAACTTTCTGATGTTAGACTCACGCCAAAACCTATTACAATATTTCATAATTGTTATTTAAAAATGTTTTTCAACTTTAATTTGGAAATCATTACGTTTAGAAGAACTAGAAAACTTTTTGTTATTGCAAAGATTTATAATTACCCATAAAGAAACACACTTGTGATAATGTATTAAAAAAAAAAACACTTACTTAGAAGTGATTTTTTGACAATCAAAATTGTAGTGACCCGCATGCCAGCTTTTTAAAAATATTATTACTAGGGTTCAATACAAAGTTTAATAATGTAATCATCAATGTCATTGGTTGAAATTTTGTCAGCTTTGTTTTATCATTATCAAAAAAATGTTTTGTTATGAATAAAACATTCAAATTAACGACAAACTATCAATTCTTTCCATCTTAAATACATAGTATAAAAGCATTTAAATTTAATGGTATGAGGTTAATTTTTTTTCAATCTCAACTTGCCTGTGTCGGGAGACCAACATGTTATTAGCCAAGAGTCAAGTGGATTTAATGTGCTATTTTACCTTATTACCTTATAAGTTGTTACGAAAAATGTGAAAAGACTATTTATAATGGAATTTAGGGGATACACTGAGGGTTGCATTTATTGAGGGGTATCTTGAAAACATGCATCAAGTGGTATAGCTAAATGGGTTAAAAAACAATTTTTTCCATGCTCGTATTTGATTGGTATCTTGTATGTAAGCTTTTTTTAAACAAGTACACAGCTCTTTCTAATAGATCACAAGAAAATTTGAATGCTTTGCTTAAAAAAAAAAAACAATGTCTCATCAATATTGAAAAAGTTAAAACTTATTCATTCTGTAGTGTGATCAAGCATGTTTTTGAATTAGATTTTACCATCAAAAAGTTTGTAAAGGGAGTGGAAATAGCTTGATCAAGTTTTTTTTTTAATTTTTCCATCACTAATCAGGATAAAGATATTATCTAACAAGGGGGCTCGGTAAGATTTAAGATTTCCACAATGAAAGATTACAACAAACGATCATGAAATTAATTGCAATAAAAGAATTCATGCAATTTTACCTGGAGATTTTCCACTTGAGGCTCCCCTAGTAGCATCAGTGTAAATATGAATATCTGGCAAAAATTTCAATAAAACACCCTTAGCAGATTCAACAAGACGATTAGAAATCGCAGGTGAAACTCGCAAGCTACATGCTGTACCTCTGACTCTTTTTACCATGCCACTGTTTAAACACTGTAAATATAAATTACTGAATCATTATGTTGTCGAAAAGTAAAGTTCAGGAGAGTTTAGTATAAGCTGTTATTAATACACAACCTGAATGGATTTGAGAAATTTACTAGCAGGACACTCAAAATATACTTCTCCTCCTCCTAGAGGTACCACACCTCTTTTGTTTATGTTGAATTTAATATCATTATCGCCAGCTAAATAACGTTTAAGTACTGGAATGCCAGCTGTTTTAATTCTATCAACACTGGGATCTAAAACCAATAAACGTCTTAATGTCTATGCTTTATCAATCTTGGTGGATTACTTATGAAATTAAAAATAATGATAAACCAATGGGTACCTTCATTATTATTAGTAACTCCCTTTAACTTAATTTTTAATGGAGTTTTACAAAACGGTGACAATGCCATAACTGCTTCGAGATAATAACCAATTCCTCTTTGTAAACTACAGTCATGGTCAATCACTCCTCCAGCTAATAATCCAGGAATGTAATATAGACTTGTACCCGTTTCGTTCACTTCTATTCTAGAGCCATTAGTTATTTTATCCAACAACCTTATGAAGCTTATTTCAAATTCTGAAAATAATAAAAACGACATTCATTTAATGATGCCTACAAAATATAGAAAACATCGCTCCATCACATGGAGATTAAACACTTTCTAACCTTTCAGGCCTGGCTCGTCATCTTTAGACCGAATATCTGTTATTTTTATAGGCTTTCCCGATAAGGTCGATAATATTAGTCTGTATCTCAAGTAATTGCAACCTTCGTAATGCAAAACATTGTTTTTAATCCGTGTCGGCATTTTTTATATCAAAGAATATCTTATTATCTTAAAATGACAAAACTACTTAACCTTGCCCACTGGCACAAATGTCAACAAAACAACATAAGAGTAAATTCCATAGACATATAAGAAATAAAGACTGCTCGTAGTGCTCGTTCTTTTGTACGGCACTGAAGCACAAGTAGAAGGAGACACAACATTGAACGAACACCTTTGACAATAAACGAAAAAGACAGATACCCCACGTTCGACGTTGTGTCTCCTTCTACTTGTGCTTCAGCGCCGTACAAAAGAACAAGCAGTCTATTTTTTATACCACCTGCGGCAGCTCAGTAGTGATGTTATGTGAGTGGCGTATTCGGGTGAGGACCCACAATCCGGAACGAGAAACGGGATTGAACGGATGAGACGTGGCGTGATGACAGTGGGATGACGATATGCACTGAGTGTGGTGTAATGGACGTGTGATTAGTGTAATAGACGTATGATTAGTGCAGGTAATGGTGTGATAGAATGCAGATGGATGAAGAGAATTTAACCACGAGGATGATGGAGGTGCAAGGTCGTGTAAGATGAGATGCGGACGATGATGAGAGTCGTGGACGTGAGGCGACTAAAAGTCGATTCTACACGAGGATGCGCGAGAAAGATAGATACGTAATGAACAAGGAGGCGATGTGACAGGCGTAGACGTGCGTGGGGTGAGGAGTACAAGCCCGAATGATTGTGATGATTATGACCTTGAATACAGAAAGGAAAGATAGCGCGAGTGAGATAAAAGAGTTGAGGTGGCGGCGAGGACGAGCAAGAGATCGATGGATGAACGATGACCAAATGAGAATGGAAGGTGTAGAGGCACAGAACTAGCACGAGGTGTGCTTAATGAGATATGATGAAGAAGCAAGTCATGAAAGATTGAGATGTAGGTCGAGTTAATGAACGAAAGATGAAGATGAAATAAAACTAAATGAATTATAATAAAAGACTTAGCGTCTCGACGGCGATGTCCTGAGTCCTGGGGCTCGATGACAGCGGCGAAATCTCCGGCTGAAGGTGCAGACTGCAAGCGGTAAAAACACTAAGCGTAAAGATGCTTTCAATTCGGCAGGCCAAGCAAGAGAGAGCGTGCAAGCGAAAAGCAACTGTCAAAGACTTGTGGCGCCCGTAAATATTAAATATTAATATTTTGCACCCATTCAGGGCTTAAACGATTCCTCCTTACTTGCGGATTTATCCTCCACTTGAATTTTTATTTGCGGATCAATAGTTTGCGAGATATTTGCAAAATAAAAATCGAAAATGGGCGCGGCGCTGACGTATAAAAAACTTTGTTTTAAGTGCTAAATTGGGTTAAAATCCAATTCTACCTGTACGATTCGATTCCTCCTCATTTTCGGATTACGGAGGTATATAAATTAATGTAATTAAATGTCACAAAGTTTGTAAATGATGAATTTAATTATTGAGTGAGAGAATTCTAGTGACTTTTGGTCCAGTGCTCCGTTCCTATTGTTCGGTACATGTCGCTTACTCCTTACAGCGGGTTCTACAAAATATTTATCGGAATAGAAAACTTTAGTAGGTATTAATCTATTAATTATCAGTTATAAGTTATTTAGCCTTCGGGTCAATACACAAACACACACACACACACACACACACATTTTTTGATGACTATGCAATCTAGTGTAAACCCATTTAATAAACATTTTTTAAAATTAAGTACTTGTTAATTTATTACTGGGGCTGTGTTTGCATAGGCTCCGTTTGTAGTATGTTAAGGTCACGTGGTCATTTATGATTAGTGCGAGTGAGACGTTGATATCATGCTGTCTCCCTCGCACTTATAAGAAATGATCACGTGACCTTAACAAATCTAATAACAAACAAAGACTTAGGCGAACACAGCCTGTGTCACTTTGATCCGTTTCCACTGGTCGGTAACTTGATCTTCAATTTGCCTGATTGATCATTTACGCGCGAAATTTGAATGCTTGAGCCGTTTTCTAAAACTTGTCCAAACAAAATTATTACTTGTGTGCTTAGCTGTGGCTTGTCTTGGGATGATTATAGCTGTGCTGCTACTTTTTAGTTGTGTTGTTATTTGTTTCTTGAATAACAACAAACATTAAAATTTCGCGCGTAATGAATAAATATCAGCCCACAGTATTTGCCACAACAGATTCCAGATATTAGATTCTTAAGATAAAAAATCTGTGCCTATTGACAAATAAATTTTTCCTTGAGCTTGAAGTATGTAATGTATGTGTGTGTGTGTATTGACCCGAAGGCTAAATAACTTATAACTGATAATTAATAGATTAATACCTACTAAAGTTTTCTATTCCGATAAATATTTTGTAGAACCCGCTGTAAGGAGTAAGCGACATGTACCGAACAATAGGAACGGAGCACTGGACCAAAAGTCACTAGAAAAAAGTTACGAGATTCTCTCACTCAATAATTAAATTCATCATTTACAAACTTTGTGACATTTAATTACATTAATTTATATACCTCCGTAATCCGAAAATGAGGAGGAATCGAATCGTACAGGTAGAATTGGATTTTAACCCAATTTAGCACTTAAAACAAAGTTTTTTATACGTCAGCGCCGCGCCCATTTTCGAATTTTTATTTTGCAAATATCTCGCAAACTATTGATCCGCAAATAAAAATTCAAGTGGAGGACAAATCCGCAAGTAAGGAGGAATCGTTTAAGCCCTGAATGGGTGCAAAATATTAATATTTAATATTTACGGGCGCCAACTTCACAAGTCTCGAAGGCGGGCACGCACAAGGCTCCAGGGGAAAATGAGGTGCGTGTGATTCTGGAATTCGGAACGGAAATGGAATTCGCTCAATTCCGTCTCTCGACGGAACACAATTTCATAAATATCTTAACAGCTATTATTCTAGTTTTTATCTTAAACTGTAAAAAAGGAACTCGCAATCATACGTGGAAGGAAAGGTTTACTTAAATTAGTACAATCAATTTATTTTGAATTATCTTGTATTTATTCAATCATATAATTCTAAGCAAATCGTATCTTCAATTTCTACATGTAATAATTATATTTGAGTTATCGCGATTATTTACGTTTATAATGAATAAAGGAAATATATAATATACTCGATAATTTAAAATTTACTTAAAATTTATCCGCCTTTGTTTAATAGAAAATTTTACATAAACGACAATTTGAATTTTCCCTCCTTANTAAATAGAAGAAAATAAATATAAATGTAAGGTGTATATTATAAATTCTAGGTGATAGAAGTGCCCCCTTGCAATACTTAAACACTTTTTTACTTATTACTTTGCCCTTCGTCTACGATGCTCCACGCTTTGAAGTAAAGAGGTTGATCGAAGGTAACAAAGCATGTTTTTGGGTTTAATTTTCGACATTCCTCTGCAGCAAAATAAAGTGCTGTATTAATCGTTATTAAGTCAGATGCAGGCAGGTTAATAGAGGGTTGATATATCACCCGAGATTTTTGATATCCGATATCGTAAGATAGAAGTTTCATGAATCCCTTCCAGCTTGATACACTTGGAATTTTAAAGGTTTTACATCACAGATATGCCGCGTAAGATGGAGGAATTACCGGAGGATTACCAAATATCATGGCTTTTGTCGATTGAAAGTAAAAATTATTTAATGTGTGTGAATTAAAGCTTCCAAAAGAACGAAAGATGAAGATGAAATAAAACTAAATGAATTATAATAAAAGACTTAGCGTCTCGACGGCGATGTCCTGAGTCCTGGGGCTCGATGACAGCGGCAAAATCTCC